TTCATTTACTCCTACAAATAATGCTATTAAATAGGTCTATGGGCCTCATTTTGAAGAGGGGAAAACTTATTCAGAGGGATTAAATGAATTGTACAGAAGGCCTTCACATGTTACCTGGACCACTGGATATCAAAACATTGGTTGAATTAAAATGCAAGTTCCTTGAAGGCAGGTACTTGATTGACCTATTTTATCCATAACTATAGGCTCAGTAAATATTCAGGAAAGTGTGTGAGTGTGTGTGTGTGTGTGTGTGTGTGTGTGTGTGTGTGTGTAGAAAAAGAATATAAAGCAGTCATCTAATCCACTCGTTATTTGTATATTTTAATTATATGCTGAGCTGATGTTATCTGTAGTAACACCAATCAAAATGTAGTCAATAGTTTGTTGCTGGTTCAAAAATTGTTTTTTACTAGTGGATCTTGAGATAAGTACAGAAAATGAGTAAGCAGTTAGAACCATTTTTTGGCAACTCAGCATTTTTTTGATTTCAAAGCAGGTGGTCAGTGGACTTGCCTAGTTGAACCTGAGAACAGACCAGTTCAGGCGTTGTCCAACTTGTGCAGTAATTAAGTATTTAGTGCCTAAATGAAATGACATAGGTTTAAATGCAGATCCTGCCACTTACCAACTGCCTGGGTACATTGGTTACCCTCTTGCAGCCTCAATGATCTTATCTACAATATGTAGTTTCAAAAACAGGTACCAAAAAAAAAAAAGTACAAAATTTTATAGGGTTTTGGTTGAAAACTAAGAGAGATTTTAGGCAGTTAGACAGCCGCCCTCAAGGAGCCAACACAGCAAGGAGCCAGTATGGAGGACAATCAGAACACATTCACTGAAGGCGGGAATTGTAAAAGGAGAGAAACTACTATACCCTTGTGCTTTTCCTGGGGATAAAAAGCAGTAACTGATATTCTAAACAGGAATCAATCATGTGGGTGGGGAGCCAAGGTCTTAGCCCAGCCTTTCCAGGAAATATCCCTGACCCCCACCCTTACTGAAAATCCTTGCATATGCTTGCTATGATACTTGCTCCCCCATTTGACCCCCATTTAATCAATATTGCCTGGGTGACTGTACTTGTAATCTGATTGGTTGATCATAGTTTTGCCACACCTCATTCCCACCTTGTAATTTTCCACTGGGTCTTACAGTTTTGTCCCACTTTGTACCCGCCTCACCACATGGCTTTGCTGTATAAAACATCTTTGAAAAGTGGGGTGAGTGGATAACCCACTTTCTGGTCCCCCTTCTGTCTCTCTTAGACAGAAACTTTCTTTTCCTCAATAAATTTTTCCTACTCTTAAAAAAAATGAGGGCCGGGGATTTAGCTCAGCAGTTTGGTGGCCCGCCTCACAAGCGCAAGGACCCCAGTTCGATCCCCAGTACCTAAAAAAAAAAAAAAAAAAAAAAAAAGAGAGAGAGAGATTGGACATAAAGGACATACAATGCTTTTTATAGAAACTGCCACATAATTATGACACATTTTATGTTGTAATAAATATTATTTTATTCGGGGATCATAAAAATTCATGCTGTTGGAAATTTTTAAAAATCTTCACAATGGAGATAATTTTACAAATATCCAGGCTCATAAGTAAACACTTTAGAGTTATGCACGTTATTAAAAAAAATACAGAGTAGCTAATTCCAAAGTCTTTCATACTGTATTTGTTTTTTACTGCATGGTGTGATCTGAGGGACAATATATTTGGCTTCTAGGTGGCGGTTAAAAGCAGTTTCTGTTTCTACAATGCAGGTTATCTGGGTGGTGCAAGGCAGTCAGGCAAGTGCATGGTGTGCATTGCATTAATGCTACAGTAGAGCCGGGGAGTAGCTCAGTGGCAGAGCGTGTATTTGAGCCCCAGCCCTCCAAGTGCAGTGGTTTGTTTGGTGGCATATATGGTGCCTATTTATATGTTTTGTGCTAAGCTCTAGCTTGTTTATCCTTTGCCATTTCCTTCTACGAACCTTGTCATCTGGAAGGTAGCAGCTATTCATCTGTGCAGCTCTGCAACTGCTAAAAAGAGTCAAAGATCCCTGCAGTAAAGAGGTCAGGTAATGGTGAGCACCATGAAGGCTGGACACAGCTGGCCATGGAAGAGACTGCATGGTGTAGGCAGGGGGCCAGAAATGTGCCAAGAGTAAGCAAAGTCTTTTCTTATCAGGGGACACAAGCTTGCACTGAGACACACTATCAGGAAGAAGGCTGTCACCAGAACAACCAGCCTTCAATAAATGGAGGGAAAATGTATCCAAGAGGGCTTGTCCCAGCTCTGCGGATGTGAATTAATATTATTTATTCTGTAACAAAATTCAAGCAGATATAAACTGCTAATTAAGCAATCCCAATATATAGATATCTGAGTTTGTAGAAGGCAGACTACTGTGATTATTTTTGCTGGATTTAACAAATAAAAATACTCCTTGTTTATTAGATGAAAGTCAGGAACCGAAGACAGCTCCTGAATGAGGTTTTGTCCATCTTTTTGGCGGGGGTGGGGGTGGGGTCTCAGGCCTTTTCACTTGTGAGGCAGGCGCTAGAACCACTGAGCCAAATCCCCAGCTGAATGAGGTTTTGTTACGCTGGTATTTACTATAGTGGGTTTCTGTACTCTACAGATTATTTAAGAACCACCAAGTTGTACAGAGAATTCTAGATCTTCTATACAGAGTTATATATTAGCACAAAGTTGAACATCAGACAAGAAGAAATGGGATTGGAATCTATAAATCTGGCTCTCCACTGATACAAATCACCTATACTTCTCAATATTTGTTGCCTCAATTTTGTGTGTGTTTTTGTTTTCTTTTGTTTTTTGGTACTGGGGATCAAACTCAAAACCTTGAGTTTATAAGGCAGGAAGTGGAAACACTAAGCTAAATTCCCAGCCCCGTTCCCTCATTTTTAAGTTGCAAATACTAATAATATCTACCTTAAAGATTAAGGATTGAGTTAAATGAGATATTATAAGGAACAATAAAATACTGGGTAAAAGTAAGCACTCAAGAAGTGCTTACTGTGTATTCATTAGAAAGAAAGCCACATGCCAGAGCAGTCTTAAAGAAAGATTCAAGCCTGAGTTTTATGCTACTTTATATGGCTGTGCTAAAACCTCTTACTTTGTCCATATCTGCTCCTGGATGAGAACCAGCAACTTCCAAACAATGATACAACCTAAGGGGAATGCAAGGAAGGACTCCATCCATTTCCCCCATTCTCCCCTCCCAACCCGTGCGTGTGTTCTCTCTCTCTCTCTCTCTCTCTCTCTCTCTGTGTGTGTGTGTGTAAATGAGCTAGGGCAGGAGTAGTAGTTGGAGAGAGGAAAATCCAGAAAAGGCCTTGGTGACGTTCTTTTCCTTTCAATAACTTGTTAAGCTAGGTACCAAACTTTGTGCTTAAAAAATATTAGTTTTAGCCCAGAAAATAGAAAACACATTTCCAGCAAATTTACAGTATTAATTTTGAGCTAAAGGAGCAAACCCTAAATTCAAACCAGATTCAGAAATTATGACCTCAATTTTTCCAGGTTTTCCATTGATTAAGCTTGTTATAGATTGACTAGAGGTAGAATGAAAGAGGGGGAAACTAGGAGGAAAAAAAATAGAATTCACAAGAATACTTAAATGCAGCGAATGAAGTTTCCCGTGTTTGCATTTGCTACTAATAAATGAGACTGAAGCATGGCAGTGCAATTGTTTCTGAGGAGCCCAGAGTGAGTGTGAGGCCTTGCCGAGGCGATTACCAAGGGATTCGGTCATTTTTGGCTGGAGAGCCATAACAAATGCAGTTTTTCAGGGCTATACAGGGATGATGGCAAACTAGAGAGTGAAGCTGTGGTTGTAGAGTGAGGTAGATGGGAGATTATTTTGGAAGTCCATTAATAAAAAATTTTATGTTGCATATTAACCATGTGCTCCATAGGTGATATGTTCAGAGGATACAGGGATACATAAAGCAGAATCCTGGCACTGTAGCTTAGGGGAAAGTAGCTTACCAGTCTAGATGAAGATAGAAGAGAAAGATCGAGGGAGGGCTCTGTAACCAGAGGGTGAAGAAATCTTGAATAGTATAACATTTGATTTTTAAAAAGTAAGAGGTGTTAATATGCACCAAAAAAAATTTAAAAATACATTTTCTTTACATTTAGGGCTGTGTTCTAAAAGAGAATAGAGATAGAATCTGCAATCCAAAAGGAGGAGTCTTAACAAAAATAAATAAAATGAATGAATGAAGTGTCAGGTGATTGAAACCTCGCCTGGGCTTTGAACATGGTCAAACACATTTCCAGTCCTTCCCGGGCCTCCTGCACCGTGGGGTGTCTGGTGTGAAGGAAAAAAAACACCAGGGCTTGTGCATCTCTTGACAGACATCTGAAATAGATCACGATCCTGCTGGGAGTTTGACGGTTTCTCAGCATCCCTCTTTTCACCCCCCCAGAACTGTAATTGCCAAAATAGACAGATTATCACAATTCCAGCCTAGGCAAAAATCTCACTAATGCTCACTTGCTGACTTTAATGAGTTCCAGAGCCAATTTGTGATCTTACAATCAGCTCAGGTTTATCACTGGAAAAAAAAAAAAGCCTGTAAGTCTGGTGTGGGAGGTCAGCTCAGCAGAACAGAGCCGTTGAGGCATTGATATGAAAATGAATTCAAATGAATTCTTGTGGGCATTGTAAGGCCTTGCAATTCCCTAATAGCACGAAGCTTAAAAATGTTACCTGTTGGTTGTCTGATGAGCTGACCAATACCTGTCTTGCAAACTACTCTCAAGAATCCTTTTTGTTCTCACTTCAAATTTCACAGCTTCCTCTACTCTGCCTAAAAAGGAAAACTCACATCTTTGAGCTGTTACAATAAAACTATTGGCAGCCTGTAAAGTGAGAACAGAGCTTTGCCTTACTTTATCATACCACACAGATGTATTATATATCAGGGTAATAATAACATCACTGGGCCTCGCTGCTTGATGATCTCTGCTTTGCTTCAGTAGGAGTGTGCAGGAGGGAGCTGGGAGGGCCCTGAAGACTCCCTGTATGGCACCAAGTGCTGCCGCGCACGCTCCTGGCTCAGTGCCACAAGATGATGCCATACTACTGGGCCACGCGATGCCAAGATGTGTTGAAGAGCAGGTGAGATGCAGTATTCTGACAGAACACACTGGAAGCCATTTGCCAGGTCTGTGAGAAGAGTGTTTCCACAGCTGTTCATCACCAGAGGAATGAGCATTCCCTGGTTACCTTCTTACAAAGATCACCCAACTTGAAATATGATGAGAACCAGTTTTAGAACCATAGAGGTGAGTGATTCCTTTCAGGGGCATTTTACCTCACACTTAAAAAGACATCTGTGACTGTGGAAGTTAAATCTATTCTGAGAGCAATTCTGAGGAACAGTGAACAAAACATAGGGTTAAAGACCAAGAGTTGCTTTCAGTGCCATCTCATGCTTCTGGACAGCTTTGCTGTGTCTTCATCATGGTTTCCAAGCCCCAGGTGTCTGATCAACCTTGGCGACACTACTCTGAGGGGCTCAGGCAGTGAGATTGCCCATGGTGACAGCAGTGACACCCTTCCAAGGGCAGCGTCCATCAGAGGTGCCCTCCTGCTGCTCAGCTCTCGCTGGAAGCCTCACATTAGAGTTTGTAATTTTTAGAATAATGAGAACTTAATGGGGATTTTTTTATTTCCTCTTACCAGCCAACACTTGCATATTTGCTGCCCAGCTGCACTGCCTGCACAAGCTGCATTCAGAGCAATCAGAAACTGTGGCCCAAGAGGCTGTAGACTTGACCTGAGAAAGGCACCATCCAGGCCTGTTGCCCAGTTTTCTTTGCTCCTAAGTGAAGACTTTGACCTAAAGTATGTTTGAACATCTGACCATTTGGGTGACCACTTTGAACCCTTTCTTCACCTATCAAGCTTTTAGAGAGAAACATTTTTTAACCAAGTGAACTAATCAATGAATTCTAAGCATTTTTGGTGTTCAGAAGCTTAGGCTTTTGCTGTTCCTTTCCATCTCACACTTCATAAAGATGAGGAATTCTGTTTGCATATAAATCAGTCACTTGGCTGTCTTAAAACAGAGATTCAAGCCAAGCATTTGCCTGTATTCCCAGCACTAGGAAGGCTGATGCAGGAGGATTGTCACGTTTTGAGGCCAGCCTAGGCTATGTAGTGAGTTCAAGGTCAGTTTGAATTACATAGCGAGACCCTGTCTCAAAACACTAAGAAACAAAAACAAAAACAAAATACGGTTTTTCACTCTTTAAGCTTAGTACCAAGGCCAAAATGATTAGAATATTATGTATGATTAATTCCTCACAGGAAGCAAAGAACCCCAACAAACATATTTTGAGATCATAATAATTTTGAGTTTTGTTAAATTTCCATTGTCCCTGTCTTCTGCAAAATCTTTAATTTTCCTCCAATCAATATGTATGCCATTTTTGCATTGACATATGGCAATCTATGGGGTAAATTGATGTTTGGGGATTTTTAACCTGCCAAAATGATTGGCAATACATTAACTTGTGAAAATCACCATTCTTGGTAGACCAACCGTGCCTAACACTTTACAGGATAAAAGATTGGGTTTGGGTTGCCTCTTCCTCTGTTGGTTATTAGTTGTTAGGAACGCTCAGGAAAATCCTGAATCTTGGAAATGTCCTGAGTCCTGTGGTCACTAAATGCTACCTTCCTGGCAAGATACCACACCAGTCTTCTGACTGAGTTGAAAAGAGTATTATCACTATCTACTTGAGCTCTGGCAGTAGGTCTTGATCTCACAACGGATCCCAAAGCAACCAACCAGTAGAAAAGCCAGGGAGGCAGAGTGGTGTCCAAGTTACAGAAAAGGAGATAAATAGGGCTCCAGGTGTCCTCAAAGCGTCAACAAGGCCAGATACTTGGAGGCGCATTGGAAGCACACTGCCCATCACTTTAGATGGAGGGCCCATGACTGCTTTAAATAAGTAGCTGATTTGAGGATAAATTTCTAAGAAAGAGAATTTACTCTTCATTTACTTGGGGGTTTTCGGTAGGTTGTTGCAAAAGGAAAAAAGGAACTGAAAATAGAAGGTGGGAAGTGGGTAGAAACTGTGTAGCACTGTCAAAAAAATCTAAACCAAAATTGCCAGGGGTAGGAACTTATTCTTAATTATTTTGATGATTGTAATTACTTTATTTTAAGGATATATAAGCTGTACTGTGGACATCCTGCCATTGGAAGTTAATTTCCAGTACAACCAGAGTGTAATAGGACCTCCCAAGAGGAATCCTTGTAAGAACATGGCTGTCAGTAGAACACTGAGAAGTGGGAACGAGGCAGGGCTTTAGTCTTAGAAGAAACAGTCACCAAACTTCAAAGCACGCAGTGTGACCGACAGTGCCGAGAAGGGCTCAGGGCACAGGAACCCGGCTTATCAGTCCTTCTGATGTTGACAGACGGGCAGGTTCTGCACAGCCTTCATCAGTCTGTAGGTGCTGACTGTGTGGGCGAAGAACTCAGTCCTCAGCCCTCCCTTGCATACCCACTTCCTCCTGTTCACACTTCTCATCAAAGCAGCCAAGGCCCACTCCAGCCCCCATGGCATCTCATAGAGGAGGTTCGGAGTGGCAGATTTCTTTTTTTCTCTTATTTTGTACTGGACATGAAACCCAGGGCCTTTGCACTGAGCTACATGCCAGCCCTTTTTATTTTTCTTTTTCAAGAAAAACATTGATTGGTACATTTTAGATGTACATGATAATAACGCTCACTATAGGGAATTTTTACCTGTATTTGATATATCCTGCCTCTTCTTTTCCCCCTCCTTATGCACAAAAGCTCTGTTTCCATTTCTCCCTTCTACTTTTACTTTTTCTTGTCCCTTCCTTCCTTTCTCCCTCCCCCAACCCTTGTTCCCCTTCCCATTGGAACCTTTTCTTTCCATTTCCCAGTATCTATTATACATTTTGGTCCTTATATCCACTTTCATTTTCACACACCAGGGAAATAATGTGGTATTTAAATATGTGTGTCTATTTATTTCACTTAAGGGTATGGTCTCAAGGTGCATCCATTTAGCTATAAATGTCTCAAGCTCATTCTTCTTATGCCAGAGTAGTACTCCATTGCATTAAAAAAAAAAAAACAAAAAAAACCCCACATCTTCTTTATCCATGGAATGGCAGATTTCAAGTGACTGTTGAAGACTTTTCCTTTTTTTTTGTTCTTGAAGTTTGGGTCTGGAGGCAAAGAATAATGCCTCAAAAGCCAATGAACATCTACATTTCCAGAATAAGTTTGAAATGAAGCTCACTTGAAAATGGAACCAGAGATGAATACGACTTTCAACATTCAAGTTGAGCAGGATCTCATAGAATTAAAGTCCTATAAATTTTACTTGTTGTGCTAAAAAAGAGGAGGTGGTAAAAATAAAGCAAAATAAAACCTACATAGTACTCCCCTTAGTTAGCATAGTTACAAAGAAGAATCTAAAAGATGTTCACTATTTAAAAAATAATAATTCTGAGTATTTCTACAGCGAGAAGTGAGGTTTGTATTCCACCATAGTTATTTATGCCCTAAACTTGGAGGCAGGCAGGAGAAAATATTTTGTGGAAGAAGAAGTAAAATAACCCAACATTCTCTATTTGGACAAAATTAAAGTTTAGTCTATAAGCTAAAGGATGCTTTAGCTTGTTCTGTTGATGCTTCACTGTACCCCAGCACACCTTACTGATTGCCTCAGCTCTTTGTAATTTAGGCACCTTTCATCTCAGAGTATGTACACAGTAAATACTAATTAATGTTCATAGCATTCTGAGATTGGTCAAGTCATTCACACTTACAGTGATGACAGGTTGGGCAGTAGGTAGCAATTTCCCTTTGTTGTCATTACCCTTCCCACATGCTAGGCAACTAAAGCATGAAAGGACAGAGGCACGATGTTGGCCTCAATGTTCCGGACCAAATCAGTGGCGTGCCAGGAAGCAAACCTTCAGCACTGCTGTCATCTCTGGGAAGTGGCTTTTTGATTCAGCGGCGGTACTTTCCAGTGTCAGCACTTGTGTGTGTCAGCAGCTGAGACTCCCACGTCCTCAGCCTCTGCTTCATCTCAGGAAAGCTCTCTGGTGGTTGAAGAGCAGGGGGTAGCAGGGCGAGGCCGCAGTGAGTTTGAAGTTTGGTTGCTTGAATAGAAATCTAAGGGGGCCAAAGAAGGTCTCCATGACAGTGAATTAATGTAATGAGAGGCAGACTGGTGACTCAGCTTTGTCTTTATGATTCTGAAAGGGACCTGGCAGAATACACAGTCTTCCTTGATAAGGAAGGGGCATAAAATTCTGGCCAAGCCTGATCCCACATCTCACCAGTCCTGCCCTCTCCTGTGTTAGACACAACACTTCAGCTTTGGAAGGGGCCTTTTTGGGGTTGGTTTTCTTAAAGCATTATTCTCATCTTCAGCAGAGATAGACAGAACACTCATTCCTAGATTGATGGGGTAGCTGAATAATTCAGAGCCAAATGGATTTTGATCATTTTTAAGTTCAAGAAGGATGGACATTGTTCACTAGGTAGAGAAGCTTAGACCAGTAGGTTGCTTCTCCCATCTTCTTCATGATCTCTTGCTTCAGAAAAGTCGGAAAAAATAAACCCACACACCATTTGAGGAATGTCCCCTCCTGGGTGTAGTCTATGTATCTTCGGAAGAAAGGAGGAAATAAAAAGAGAGACCTGATATTTACTGACTGTGAACTCTGTTTATTAAAGAACAGCACTTATATAAATAGTTGTATTTGATCCTCTAAAATAAGACCCCACTATGTAGGCATTATTACACCCATGTGGTTTGTTGTTGTTATTTTGTTTTTGCAGTACTGGGAAATTGAACCTTGCGCCTCACATATTCTAGTCAAGTGCTCTGCCACTGAGCTGCATCTCCAGTCATATTTTATTTTTTAAATATCTTTTATCTTGAGATAAGATCTTGGTAAATTGCTCAGGCTGATCTTGAACTTGCAATCCTCCTGCCTCAGCCTACCTACTATCTGAGATTACAAGACATACATTACCACACGTGGCATTATCTCCCCACCTCAACACTCATTTAAAAAAATTAGAGAAGAGTCTTAAGGATTCAAGATTGGCTTCAAACTCATGATCCTCCAGATTCAGCTTTCTAGCTGCTGGGATTACAAGTGTGTGTTACCATCTCCAGTGGGGTTATTTCTATACTTGGAAAAGACTCTATTCTCATTTTCCATTTCTAAAGAAAGAGCAACCTTTTGCAACATTGAATGCTAAATCTCTTTCCCCAAATATGTGTTACTCTGCAAGATAAATCTATCAACTTCTCAGCTCTTTATTACTAGCTCTGTTCCTCTCCTTCTATGCTGGTTTCAGCATCTTCCTCTCGTGTTGGGAGTGAGGGGTGACTGGAGAGAACAGGGAATTACCGCCCTTTGGTGTGGCCACTGCTCTGGACACCTAGAGGCACTAGAGAGCGGCTGCAGTTCCAGCTCTTGGGCACAGAAGATCCCACTGTCACCATAAGCCTCACTAGAGAGGGGCAGGTGATTTGCCCACACTGAACACTGTGGTCGAGGTTGGTGGACATTTTTATACTGTCTAAAAATAAGCATGTGGACCTCAATGGGGAAAGACCAGGCCTGTAGAGAAGGTCTTGGGGATCTCACTGTACTGTTATAGGGGGGAGGGAGAGATTCCGCGTCACCTTTGTAATTTGATTTTGACTGCTGAAACTCACATCTGCCTAGCCTTTGTGTGTGCACTACAGTTGCAGAATTACTCATTCCACTCAAATGTAAAGGAAATATAGCTTCTTTTTTTCTCTAAATCACTCTGATGTCCCTTGTGAGACCTCGTGTGTTGCATACCAAGAGGTAAAAAAACTAATTTTAGCTCCATTGGTCATTGCTCCTTTCATAGTCTGATTCAGCTATTGAAGTGGTGTCTTTAGACCGAGGTCTTTGTCTTTCAGATTCCGTGACTCTTCCACTTGCTTCTTCCTAAATGCTACCCGCTGGTCTGAGCCCAAGTCCCCTGGTTGCTTCCCCTAGGGTTCTGCCCTCCTAAACACGGTGATGTGGGTCCCCCAACACAGTGGTCTCCTGAATGCAGCAAGAGCTGTCCTGCCCTTGATGTTCATTAATTTATTTTATTCTGTGGGCAAATACCAGAATGGGGAGGCCAGAAGACGAAGGGCCCCCAGCTTTGCATGTAGCTGTCCTCTACATCTGCCAGCACCGGCTGGAAGAGGTGTCCTTCTGGCCTCTGTCACAGCCAGAGAAATGTTCTCTGGACACTAAGGCGAAAATATAGAACCAGAAATTTCATTCTTGAACTTTGAAAAAAGTATAGAATATCCAGTCTGTTTTCAGAAACAGTCCTGACCTACTGAGGTGTGATGGTTCCGATGCAGCTTCTAGGATGTGAGCTGGGACTGGAAGCACTTAGGCATTGAGGTGCTGTGTCCCCACCATAAACCAAGGTGGGCTTGGAATGGGTGAAGGGGGTGTATGCAGTAGAAGGTGCTTTGAAGTACTCCTTAAGGGATGGCGTCGTGCTTAACATCTTGGGCTCTGGATCCAGATTCACCTCTGCCATTTCCTTGTGATGTGGACAGATTTACTTATATGTAAACTCAGTTTCTTCATCCTTAAAATGAGCTAATTCCAATATACCTTATAGGGTAGTTACAAAGTTTAAATCTGTATGGTCTCCTCTACCCCAAGTGCTATGGGTTGAACCTAGGGCCTCATGCATGCTAGGCAAATGCTCTGCCACTGGGTTATATCCCCCAAAGTTTAACGTATATTAAGAACTTAGATTTTTGCCTGTCTGAAAGTAAGTACTGAGCGCATGTAAGCTATACATTCTGAACATGAATACCATTAGATTTCAAGCCTTAGAAACATCTTATGTAAGATTATAGGAGAAAGAGCATGAATTTTCCAATTAAAGTATATAATCTTAAGCAGGTTGTATATCCACCATGAGCTTTGGTCTGAAAAAAATGAGAATAGCACATAGCAGAAGTTCAGTAAGAATCCATGGACCGATTCCAGCGAACCCCCAAAGCTGGGGCACAAAGCCACATACTTCCCGTCAGGTGTCCCTGGTCAGAGGATGGTTTCTGCCCATCCACCAGCCACTTCAGATGTCTAGGTGTGTGTTTTCTCCTTTTTTTTTTTTTAATTAAAATACTCCTTGGTCTGTTAGAGGCATTTGTGTCTGCTTTATTCACACAACTCAACCCACACTTGGAGAGCAATGTGTTTGCATAAATACTAGCAGATGAATTTTTTAAATATCACTTTTTCTTTTCTGGCACTCTGTGAGGGAAATGAGCAAATATAAACAGAGGAGTATCACACTAGAAATACAACAGATGGGATTTGGCTGGGGATCCGGCCTTTCCTGGAGTTTAGGCATTTGGGAGATGTAGGATTATGACAAAATCCAGTTGTAATGTTCTTGCTTTTTATTTCTCAGGCAAGATATTAATTGCTTAAAGATGGGGCTTAATGCACACTTTCAGCCCAAATTTTCCCCTTGGGAAACAAGCAAGATGCTGCAAACACATTCTTTAGAAGGAATTATCTGCCTAAGCCTAGCATAAATCCAGTTTGATTGAGGAATCAAGAAGAGAGAAGGAGAAAGTTTATCTTCACTCCATGATGCAAAGGCAGTGGAAAAATCTCTCTTTATTTCTTATTTCAAAGAGCTTGATAATTATGACCAAGAGTTTATTGTGGATATTTTAAATATGGAAACTGCTTACTTATATTCCCTGACTTATCTTGACTTGGGCCAATTCAATCCAGATTACATATCCTGAGAAATACATTCATATGGGGGGAATTGATCATAAGCCACCCCTAACTCCAGCCCACGCATTTGGCCCTGATATTACTTTTATTCATTCATTTGTTCACCAGATCTTACTGAACATCTATGCTGTAGACAGAAAGTCTATTCCCCCCCCTCATTCATATGTTGAGAACTAATCCCCACTGTGATGGAGTGTGGAGTTGTGGCCATTGGAAGTGACTAGGTCCTGAGGGTAGTCTCAGTGCTCTTATAGAGACCCTAGAGAGCTTCCTTGTCCTTTCCCACATGAGGCCAATTAGAGATTGCCATCTACCATCCAGGATGTGGATTGGCCTGAGACACTGATTCTTCTGGCACCTTGATCCTGGGTTTGATCTACAAGAAACAAATTTCTGTTGTTAATGAGTCATTCTGTCTATAGAGTGTTCTGTTACAGCAGCCCACATGGCCTAAAACAATATATGATAAGAAAGGGAATATAACAATGGAGACAAACATGGTCCTGACATAACAAATCTCAGATCCAATGGGAAAAGACATTTACATTATGATATACTCATTCACTAAAAAGTGAAGTAGAAACCATTTTCTTTCTATTTCCATAACCATAATATGCTCCCAAGATCTAGGCTTGGAGAAAATGGGAGGTAGAAGCTGTTCTGTGACCTCATTTTCACTTTATTTTATTTATTTATTTTATTTTTTGCAGTGCTGGTGATCAAACCTAGTGCCACATGCCCCCTTGGCTATTGCTCTGACACTAACCCACAACCCCCAGACTTACCCCAGAAAATGGCCTCTTCATTGCCAGAACTTCTGTGCAACTTTTAAGAACTCCATGGATGAGTTCGTCCATAGTTGACTTGGCTGACCCCTCATCTTCATGAGATGATTTTAAGACCCTTCAAAGGAATACAACAAATGATCCTGCTTGTAATTAGCTGACATCTGGATCATAGAGAGAGACTCATCTTTGATCAATATTATTAACTCATTTTACTGCAAGAATGCTTATCTATTAAGCTTAATGAGGAAGTTAAGCACAATGCAGTGTAAGGACCACAAGCTTTGAAGTCAGCTCTACCATCTCATCTTGGTTCCAATGTTCATTAGCCACGTACCCTTGGGTGATTTTTTTTTTTCTCTTTTCTACTCTTGTCTCATATGTAAAATGGTGAAAAGAGCACTTAATTCTGGATTGCTGAGATTTTTACATGATATAAGCCCTAAAAAATGTTTAGGAGTACATTCTCCTCTGTCATACTCAGGACCTGTATTCTGTATGACACGGGACTTGTCTTTGAGAGAAAATAACACTTGTTCAAAATACATAATGTCACCTATATAACACTGTATCTTGGCAAATGAAGAATTATATCCATGGCTGACTCTGCCTATCCTGACTGGTGCCAACTCTGTCTGCTAATTGCAGTTTGAAATATATCCCTCCAGCAATGTCCAACCTAGAAGCCCAAAATAAATCAGAAAAAAAGACAATATGAAGTTTTACATTTAAAAAGCCACATTATCCATGTTCTTGGTTTTACTATTCTTTTTACTCACTGAAAAAATTATCTTTTTTTTCAGGGTGCTTGAAAATGTTGAGCTGAAGTTGGAATTTGGGGGTCACATTTAATAGGGAATGACACAGGCTGGTGACATTGCTTCAGGTAATTTTTTATATGCTCCAATACCCCTGTACCAGATCCTCCTATAACTCAAGAGGGACTAGATTTCCTTGGGAGTCCTGCAGAGTCCTCTGCACCCTGCAGGCCACTAAGCCAGATACTGGTAGGATTTGTCACAAGGCTGAATATTGAGGCTGATGCAAAACATCTCCAAATTTAATACATTAATTACTTATAATTTGAAAAGCTAGAAACAAATTCAGTATCCAAAACATAAGGGTAGTTAACTCTGTGAATTATTAGGCAACTACTAATAGTTATGGTTGTCTGATTTTCTTATATGATAATAAGGAAAATTGATAAGATATATTTAGCAAGAAGCAGCATACATGATTCTATGTATACAGAATTAGTGTAATAAGAGTTAGAATAAATGTAGCCTATCAAAGGACAGGAAGGAAACACCTTGGATAGGTTAAGATGTGAGGGGTGGAACTATGGCTAATTTTTGGTTTCTGTTTTTATTTTTATAACAAGCGTATACTGTTTAGACAATCTGAAAAAGCATTTTGAAATAAAAGCTTCTGAGGCCAAGAATATGGATTTTCCTGAGATGATTTTCACAAATTACTTCCAAAGAGAACTTCGAGTTATTCACCGGTAGACTTAGCCAAGGGAAGTTGAAGTACAACAGGGGCAGCTCTTTTAAGGAACTTAGTGAAGACCAGAAAGTTTGCCTTTTATCGTCTTGGGACTGGTCTTTCTTTATAGGGGCAATACTTGTTTTCTTTCTTGCTACCAAAGTCACGTTTGTCTGACGCCTTCCCACTTCCTCTGGATATCAAGCTTTGCTCTTTCCAAGTCAAGGCATCTGGTTTTATACTTATGCGGGATAGGGGTGGGAGAGCTGCAGGAGGCTGGCACCAACCCCCACTACAGGATCAAGTGAAGCGGAACAAGACTGGTGGCTAAAAAATCCAAATCAACTGATTTTGTTTTCCTCTGTTTTTAAATTAGTCCCCAAACTTCCTGGTTTTGATCTAAAAGAGAACTAGACAGCTTGTGATCAAATCCTGCCATCCTCATGGTCTGAGACAGGCTATCTCAGGGGACATTTTGTGTTCTTTTAAACCCAAAAGATTCCCCTAGTCGTCATATCACATTAACAGTCCCGCATTCATCTTAGCCCTGTTCCTTGCACATGTGCTTTTTCTTTTTGGTCTCTTGTTGTGATAGTTTAACAGACTTAAAAAAAAAAGGCTGTGGGTACCTAGACAGATCTTCATGAAGTCAGACCATTAGACATGTACCGAGGACTCAGCTTAATCTACTCCCCTTTTCTCTTAGAAATGTGTAAAAAAGAGACATATCCTAGCTGTCAGGACAAAAAGTCAGTAGGCTCTAACAAAGCTGGTGCTGATCAGGAAGCATCCCAAGATCTCTCAGCTGAACCACCGTGGTAGTTGGTTGCCCATCATGGTGGCCATCCCAACTCCACTGCTATACTTAAAGTTAGGGCTTTAGGGGAATGATGCATAGTAAAAAAATCTCAACAAATGGAGGCCCTGGAACAGAATCATTGCAGGTCCCTGATTAGTCACTTCGTAGCAACTTGAACAAAGAATTCCCAGCGCAGTTCTCCTAACTTCTAAACAGAAGAGGATAGCAGTTAGGTGACTTGGCCAGCTGAGTTTTGCTAGACAACCCAGTGTTAGCAATCCCTGAGGGAACTGGGCTTAGCTTGAGTCAGGCAGGGTGTGAGGCCCTGGAACAGAATCATTGCAGGTCCCTGATTAGTCACTTCGTAGCAACTTGAACAAAGAATTCCCAGCGCAGTTCTCCTAACTTCTAAACAGAAGAGGATAGCAGTTAGGTGACTTGGCCAGCTGAGTTTTGCTAGACAACCCAGTGTTAGCAATCCCTGAGGGAACTGGGCTTAGCTTGAGTCAGGCAGGGTGTGACGAGCCACAACGCTGATCTCACCTTCGCAAGCCAACCAAGTTTCCCGCCCCCTCCGCCCACTCAGCCTGCTGTCAGCAGCCTCTGCCAACTTGTTCATTTTGTTTCTATTTTTTTCCCCTCTTTCTATCCCTGGGCAGCCACTGCTTTTGCTATTTACCCCCGAACACACCCTCAGATCATCAGAGCTCTGCCGTGGAAGTGTGGTGACTCATCTGATGCTTAGGTATTTTGGGTTCCTTACTCTTCAGCCACTTTACCGAGAAGAGCCACGCAGAGTCAAAACAGAGAGGAGAGGAAATCGGGGTGTGCAGATGGGAGGGGTGGGGCACAAATCCAAGGGCTGCTATGGCGAAGTTCAGCAGAGGGGCTGTTGTCGAAGCTAGGACTCCGAGAACAAGGGCCATTCCAAAAGCAACAACAGGAAGGAAATGGGGGTTTGAGTAAACTTCATTGAGAGGTCTGGACACACTGTGCAGAGTTCTCCCACCGCAGAGCTGTTTGTGCAGAAATCCAGAAGAATCATCATTGCTCTTTGGGAATGTTTTTGAGTAACCACGCCCAAGCTGTGCTGACTCTGCCAAAGCAAGGTGAAGGATGCAGTTGCAGGCTTGCAAACTACAGTCCGCTTATTACCCTAAACTCCAAGCCCCTCCCCCTAAATATACATGTGCCTTTGGCTCAGTTACCTGGATTCTCTCTGTGGACGGGCTGCTGTTCTGAGCAGACAGATTCGCTCATGCTGCGGACAGTAGACAGTAGACACCATGCGTGACAGATCCCCCGTAAGCTTTGTGGTTGTGTACGTATGAGAGGCTTCAGCATATTACGTTTAGAAATTAATTTTCCTTATATTGTTCTCCCCAATACAGCGCAGTGTGTGATGCTTCTATTTGCACTGTAACCCTGCTTTCTAGTTCCAGTCCCCTCGGAGAGAGTATTGCATTACTATTTGTGACATTTGCCATTCATTTATAGTTTGGAATTTGCAAGATTAGCCTGCTGAGACTGTTCATTCTTTGCTAATTATGCATTATGTAATACAATAAATACTCCCCTAAAACCATTTTGGAGCCAACCCTGCAGGTCCAGAGCTGGGTTATGGAACAGAGCCCAAAGTTTTTATTCTAGAATGGGACTCTGAACTCTGAATTCTGAGATAAATGAGTTGATGAGAATGATTCATGATGAATTTCATGACTGCTGAGTTTGGACTGTTAATTTTTTTTTAAACAGAGTCTCACTATGCAATTTAGGCTGGCCTTGACTTTACTATGTAGCCCAGGCTGGCCTCGAACTCTTGGCGATCCTCCTGCCTCAGCTTTCTGAGTGCTGGGATTACAGGCGTGTGCCACCACACCAGGCTGTGACTTTCTCTTTTTGCAGTATGGTGTGATCAACGAGTAAGGGATACCCTACCAGCTATCATATGCAAACCATTTTACAGATAACAGTAAGAATAAACAAGGTGTTTAACTAAAGCTGTGTATTAGGGTGATTGAACAGAAAAGTAGAAGGACCCAGTGACATCTTGCACCACTCTCAGTCCGGGCAGTAGTCACCATCACATAGGTCACATTGTTTGATCAATTAGAAATAAATAACACTAAACATGTAAACAATCTTAAACACCCCTAAATGATTTTAAGACTAAGTCATAATTGACAGGTAAGACAACAAATCATAACTAAAATTTTAAAAAATCGAGATCCAAATAACAAATGAAATGTAATTCAAAACTTCTGCAGAAGAATTTACTGGCAAATTCATAGACCTTTTAAAATGCTTCTTTAAAAAAAGGAGAAACTGGGTGTGGTGGTGTATATACATAATCCCAGCACTTGGGAGGCTGAGGCAGGAGGATCTCTGCTAGTTCAAGGTCAGCCTGGGCTGCATAGTGAGTTCAAACCTAGCTTGAACTACATAAAACAAAACACACACACACACACACACACACACACACACAAGTAAATAAATAAGGAGAAATACTAGAAATCAATTGCCAAGTGTCCAACTCAAGATATGTACTAGATAAAGGAATAATAGCATACACAAAAAAGCAGAAGAAATAATAAGTAGCAAAAATTAAAATCATAACAAAATTATGATAGAAAAGCTGGTGTTTTGAAAAGACAGATAAAGCTTAAAATAATTATAAGGGAAATCACTATATATATCACAGATTTCTAAAAAAAGGACAATGCTATACACTTTGTACAACTAAATTTTGAAAACTTAAATGAAAATACTCAGTTCCCTAGAAAAATGAAACTTACCAAAATGAACTCAAAAAGAAATAGAAAGCCGGGGAGTTAGCTCAGCAGTTCTGTGGCCTGCCTTGCAAGTGCAAGGACCTGAGTTCAATCCCTGGTACCAAAAAAAAAAAAAAAAAAAAAAGAAATAGAAAATCTAACTAGAGAGCTATCACTATTTTTCAAAAGTTAATTTGGTAATTTAAAATCTACCTGCAAAACAAAACAAACCACGCAAGAGCCAGAGACATTTATAAGTAAATTCTACCAAATGCCCAAGAAAAAGATAAATATAACCTTATACAATATATTGTAGTATAAAAAAAAGAAAGCTAAAAAGGAAGAAACAAGAAAGAAGAGAAAGGAAGGAAAGAGAAAAGAAAAAGGAAGAATAACATCTTATTTTATAATGCTAGCAGAATTTTGCTATCAAAACCAGAAAAAATATAAATGGAAAAGAACAACTGCAGACCAATCTCTCATAAGTGAAAATGTAAAAATCCTAAACAAAATGATATAAAATTAAATCCAGCAATATGGCTGGTATGGTGACCCATTCTTGTAATTCCAGCATTTGCGAGGCTGAGACAGGAGGATCAAGGCCAGCCTGAATTATAAAGGAAGACCCTGTCTCAAAAAACTAATAAATAAATAAATACAAATGTTAGAATTAATGTTTCCTTTAGCTTACCTCAAAGTATAATATTAGAACATTAGAGAACATATTAACATAATTTATTGCATGTATACTACATTAAAGTAGAAAAATCAAATAATTACTTCAATGGATGCAAAGAAAACATTTTAAAATTTTAACTCAAAGTAAACATTCTTAGCAAAAGCATTATAGAAGGAAACTCCTTGATAGAGTATCGGCCCAAAATTTGCAGCAACCAATATACTTGGTGTACTTAATGATTAAGTATTTGTTAGAATAATTTTCTTAAAGAATAAGAGTGAATGTCTTTTATCATTCTATTGCTATTCACCTTAGTACTGGAAGTTGTAGAAAGTAACTATATGATAAAAAAGAAATTAAAGTAAGTTGGGCATAGGCCTTGGGTTCGATCCCCAGTTTATTTATTTGTTTATTTAGCACTTGATCATCTCAGCCTAAATTCAAAAGGTAAACAAACTAAAAGATCACAAATAGGCACACAATATTGAAAAAACAGCAAGATTGGGAGAACTTGTATTATGTGAATGTAAAACAATAGTGATTAAGATAGTATAATGTTGACCAAGGGATAAGCAAGTAGACCAATAGAACAGAAGGGAAGCCCCAGAAATAGATCCAATATATACAATGCTATGACAACTAAGAGACATTATAAATAAGTGAAGAAATGGTAAGTTATCAAGATACAGCATTAAGTGATTGTCATGTTCAAAGCCAAAATAAAATGATAACATGCCAGTATAAAAATTAATTCTGAATGGATTAGTTCCCTAATGTTAAAGACAAGTTTCAAAATTTTAAGAAGAAAATATTGGGGGATATTTTTATGATCTCACCGAAAGATATCATTCTTAAAATGCAAAACCAGCACAAATCACGAAGGTGCAGGCTGATATATTTTATTATGATAAAATTTAAGGGCCGGGGATTTAGCTCAGTGGCTCTGCTGCCTGCCTCGCAAGTGCAAGGACCCGAGTTCAATCTCCGGTACCAAAAAAAAAGGAATACTAAAGGTTGCTTAGCAAGTATGAGGCCATTGAGACCCTGGGTTCAGTCCCAGCACTGGAAAAAAAAAAATAAGTAAGCAAATAAATAAGGAATGCTAAAACTGATGAATAAACATTAGGAAAAATGATCACATGTATTAGTAATCAGACATATGCAAATTAAAGCATCCACAGACCGTATTATGCCTGTCAGATTTGTAAAACTAGGGTAAAATGTCTGTGTGTGGGTGAAGATGTGGGAGCTTGTATGCTGTGTTTGTTATCTGCCCTACACCCCACATCTAGAACAGATGCTCCATGAGAACAGGGACTCCTTTTTCTCAGAATCTCATCTCCAGTGCCAGCAGTCGTGCCTGGCACTGAAAGAGGGTGGGCAAGAACGGATAAAGTTCAAGGTCAGATTCTCTAACACTCCACTAAAAAGAATATGAGCAGGAAAGTGCCCTAGAAAGACTCTTTCACATGTACATAAGAGCTCATGTCCAAATATGTCTATTGTATCAAAACAGCAACAGCTCAGAAGTAGAAGATTGGACAGATTGTGGACTATTCATGTAATGGAAATATAGGTATGATTTAGAATTGAAGATATCAGTATGGATAAAGGATATTTTTTCTGTGTTCTAAATTGTTTACTTGAAAGAATTATATGCTGTCTTTAAGAGTTAAAAAATGAGGGACGCGGGAAGTAGGCCCGTGGTAGAGTGCTTGCCCAACATGCAGGAGAACCTGGGTTTAATTTCTAACATCCTCTCCCAAAGGGGAGAGGAGGAAGAGTTGAAGAAAGTGTTAGAAAGACAAAGAGCTGTACTATGACACCAAATGACGATTTAGAGGGTTTTTTGTTTGTTTGTTTGCTGTGCAGAGAATTGAGCCCAGCACTTTGCACATGCTAGGTTAAGCACTCTACCACTGAGCTACATTTCTAGCCCAATTTATAGGAATTTTTACTGATCAAAACTCAACATATAAGCTAGGTACAGTGGTGGTTCCAGCATTTGGAAGGCAGAATTGGGAAAACTAGAGCCCAGGAGTTCAAGACAAGCCTGGACAACATAGATTATTCCAAAAAGCGGGGAGGGGCAGGTGTGGCGGAACACACCTGTGATCCCATCACTTGGAAGGCTGAGGCAGGAGGATTGTTGTGAGTTCAAGGCCAGCCTCAACTGTAAAGCAAGACCCTATCTTAAAATAAAAGTTAAAATAATAAAATGCTGAGAGGTACAAAATAATATGATTTATGGAAGAGGAGAAATTAATTCCTCCCAAAGGAATCCTGGAAGTGTTCATGCTTTGAAGTTGCACTTAATATTTAAACAGGTGGCAATGGAGCAGAGAGATTCTTATTGGAGGGAATTAAGGCTCAGCAGAGGGAGCACTGGGAAAACAAGGAGCTGCTTCAGGGAGTGCCTGTGAGCTTAATTTTGTAGGAAGATAGACTGAGCACAGAGTACTGATGAAGGCAGTGAATATCGGTACACGGTTTCCTAGAGGAAGAGATGTTAGAGCATGATGTTCGGCAGTTGGCTGGACCAGAGATGAGAGAGTGGACGAGTATCTCAAGAGGAGGCTCAGGGGCAGGTAACAGCATGTGCACACAGTCAAGTGTAATCAGAAAATACAAAATGCCTAGGCCTGGCTGTGTGGCTCAGTGGCACCGTGCCTGCCTGGCAAGTGCAGGGTCCTGAGTTCAATCGAAAAAAGAAAAGATGAACTGTAGCACTGAATAGGAAATGCCTGGAGTACTTGGTGGAACAACGG